GGGAGGAGTAGGGGAAAGGAAAGAAGGGAATGGAATTAATATGAGAAAATGAAAAAATGGAAACAAAGTGTAAATAGGGAGGGATGGAGGGATTGAAGGGAGGGCAGGGGAAGGGGGAAAAATAAGAACCAAGAGAGACTATGTAAAAGTGCAAATTTCCAATGATGAATGTCATTATATTGTATACCTAAAATGCACCAATAAAAGGATATACAAAAAAATAAAATAAAAAATAAATAAAACCTATCAGGCTGGAGGTGCTTAAATAAAGGTGGAAGACTGCACCATTTTACACCATTATTCTCCACTGTGTCCTTGAGAAGTGAGAGAAAGCAACTGAAAAAGTTAGGAAATGAAATCAGAACCTATTTGTAAGTTATGACAAAAAATGTAACTATTAAAACCATTAGATTTCATATTCCAAACAAATGGAAACTGTTTCAGGGGTAACTAGAAGTGTGAATACTAATATTGGAAAAAAATGTCCCAATAAGGGTTCAGACAGTTAATCATGGCCAAAGACTCCCAATGTGTCGTTGTTAATTCCTAAATCCCTGGGAAGAAAAAGTAGCAAGGCACAGAAACCGGAATGATAGTGGGTGCTTGCAGTAATCCGAATCTGCTGCTGGCCATGTCAACTGAAAATTGACCTATATGAACAGGTCTTCCTCATTCATTCTTTCCATAAATTATCTAGTATCTTTTATATGCCAGGACTAAGCTAGGGGCTGGGAACACCCTGGTGGACAAGATGATCTCTAGTACTATCATAATTATAACTGGCTACTACAATTAGTATTCATTATAATCGTGGTAAGTGCCACAAAGGAGGAGTACAAAATGGAAGAGAGCAAGTATCAGGGTGACCTGAGCGAGTCTGGCAGGCTAGGGAGTGATTAAGTGGAGCTCTTAAGGACGAGAGGACTTAGCTGGATGAGGAAGGCGAGATGGGTATCCCTGGAGGTGTAGAGACCTCCCCTGCTTGCCCCGCCTTGGGATGGGAGGAGCAATGCGTATGCAGGGTGGGGTGCGGAGCCCCAGGGAAGGCCTGTGGCTGGGTGCAGAGTGGTGTAGCAGGAAATGATGGGAAGGTAGATCGGGCCGCCCAAGTCACAGCACAATGGGCTCTGCAAGCCCAGGTGGAATTCATGAAGTCAAAAGGGTATCAGCCATCCCTCCAGAAGCCTCAGCTTCAAACACACTGGCTAATTATGTGGGCTGTGCTCTAGGAAGCACTTTCTTGCCTTTCATAGGCCTAGAGACACAGTTGTTATTGCCCCATCTCCAAATGCCCCCTTGCAGCAACTATCTAACTACAGTAAGAAAAACCAGCCTGGCTGGTCAGTTGAATCCGGCAAGCAGGTGAAAATGACACCTCTTCACTGTCACTCACAGCAGAATCATCTGACCTCCAACTTGACTATTAAGCAACCCTAAAATATCAGAGCCACCTGCTGCCTCTGCCAGCCTCCTGGCCCAATCTTGGAAAGGTAAAACCAGAAGAGCAGGTATGGTGTATTTCAAGCATTCAATAAAACCAACCCTGAACACTCCACCTTGAAACTTCAGGCCTCTCTGCCTTTGTCCCCGGTGCAATCAGTCAAGATTGGTTCATCCTTCTGGAAAACAAACACTCCTAATTGAATTGAGCTAACCCACAATTTACATAGCTATTTTTCTCAGTCCTCTCAGGTGCTTTACATAGGGAAACTTCTTTCCTAGCTCAAGAAGGAGGCATGTTTTCATTTTAGAGCCAAGGACAAGGACAGCTAAAAGGCAAGTGCAGTGTCAGACGTTGGTGGGGAAAGGGCTGGCAGGGCTGGTGACACAATGACCTTCAGAGCCTTATTCACCCTTGAGGCTCCTTGTAAACCTCACCAGTCACTGCTGGTACTAATTGTCCTAGGCTTTTAATGCCAATGCTCAACTGAAGGTTTCTTTTCTCCTACAACATTCTTTCATAATACTTTTAGTAACTGGAGGTTACTAAACTAGTAGTGCTTTTACATCTGATTTGAACTGGGCACACCCTAAAGCTGGAGCCTGTTCCTGGGGTAGCCTTTTAATATGGAGAAAACAGTATTGCAGGAGTGTACTCTTTACCTCCTACCTCTGCCTGTACCACTTCCTTTAAATACCCTGTGAAGACTGAACATACTCAAAAGGAGCAGCGAAGGAAGAACCTATTCTCAGTATTTTAATCTCCCGTCAAATTTATTCTATCACTTCAAATTAACTCAGCAAGAATAATCCATTAGACAACAGCCCGACTCCTACATTCTACCTCTTTGGAATCACAAGGGTTGAGTTAGCCTGTGTGACTGGAATTGGGACTTGGTGAAGTTTTGCCCTATGTAGACAGGAGGGCAGTATGGAGAAGTCAGGCTGTCCCAGATGCTGTCATTCATCAGCCATGTGATTGAGAAGTTTCTTTTCTAAGCCTGTTTACTCACCTGAATGACAGATAACAGGTAGTAAAGAGAAATGGGATGATACATGCAAAATGCAACCAACAGGGGACCCTTGGTGAATGGTGACGGGGGTCACTGTGCCTCTTTGTGATGTTTCCCTGGAGGATATGTCCTACACTCAAAACAGGTGGGTCCTGGAGCAAATACCCTGTTCCCGTTTCCTAGATTCATGGACAAGCAATATTTATGTTCCGGAAGATCCCTCGTTGACATCAGGGCGTTAAAGATCGTTTCGTTGTGGGCAGTGGGCGGTGTGTGTACGTGCACACATTTTTTTTTTTATAGACCAGGAGCCTTGAGATGAAAGGAAAAACGAGTACCAGAATTGCAAAGTTAACGTTTTTATTGAACTGAAATCAGTAAAGAACAATGGGGGCCGCGACAGCTGCTGAGCTCAGTGACAACTGAAAAGCCCCTGTGACATTTTACCTCTGAGAAGCCTAACATGGTTGGGTGGAACAACTGAGAAACAGCGTATAGGTATATATGTGTGTGTGTGTGTATATATATATATATTCTTTTTTTTAACACTTCAAAATAGTTTGAAATGAGTCTCACACCCTTGTTTTCTGGTTACAAAGAACATTGACAACGTCTTCTGTCACCTTCATTTGGTAGTGTCAGTTAATATCCTTTCCTAAAACATTCCTCTCAAAGTAGTGGCTATATTTTTCCCCAATCCAGGACACATGAGAAAAGGGTTTAGTAACACTTGGGCAAGTAATAAACTGCAAGAATTTTCAAGGTAGTGAAGCGCATGTCACAGGCATAGAGACAGCATGCATGCTGCCGTGAACTGGCCAGAGATTCTGCCGAGATCCGGGAGCAAAGGACACGCTGAGGGAACGGCTAAGGCACCCACAGAGTGAACTGATGGGCCATTTGTGTCTAGGCCTCAGTTTAACATCTTGCTTTTGTTTTACATAATAGGGTGAAACACTTTACAGGAAAAGAAAGCTCCTGTAAAGGTTATAAGATGAATCAGAGAGGAAAGAAAATTAATACTGAATTTTTATAATCAATGCATTGAGCAATGATAAAAACTGACCACACCAATAACCTCTGTGGCAGAACTACTGAACATCTTTTATTACTTAAAGCTTTGAAAGTTAACTTTTCTAAAGCATTTCAAGGGAAATAAATAAATAAATAAAGGAGGTGAAATCCCTACATAAAAACCCCACATGTATTTAATGTTTTTAAAGTCTGGTTTAAATTAGCTGCTCACTTAATATGGAATAGATTTGTGGGTGTTGGTAAAAATCTTCAAGATTTCAAATTATTTTCAATGAAATGTGATAAAAAACAGCACAGTTCATTTTTTAATATTGACAATGCTGTTTTACACATAGTATTCCTCAACACAAAAACAAAAAACTAAATTCTTCCACCAGAGTAATAATACCAAGTGGTCACTCATTCCTACAGCAATCATTTGCAAGAATCTAAAAATCTTGTAGTATGGGATGGAAAAAGATTACAAATATTTTAATAGGCTCATGTCCATCTTCAAAAGGGATGCAACCCTCGGAATAGAATACTCCGAGGTTTGCAGCTGTCAGATTTGCAACTGATAGGCAGATACACATTTTACAAGGATCTGTCCAATGTAGACAACAAACATCTAAATTAAGGCTTTTATTGGTATGTGGTCAAGTCCGTAGTGTGCAATGCTGGATTTCCACAGAGCTTCTCCAGCTCCCATTGTTACCCAACTTGTAAACCAGAAGATATGCTGATGTAGGTGGGTAGGAGCTCCAAGGTATAACGATTAACCAACTGGAAGGCTTGTTTGTGAACAGGTTCTGAAATAAGAGTTGGCAGTGAAACAATGGAGGGGGTGCCTCAGATCATGCAGAGGGGAAAAGTGATTTGCAGCTGCTGACAGAGATGAGCTAAGAAACAAGTAAAAGCCAATGGCTGACCTTTAGTTCAAAATTTCCAGATTTATAGACTTAAAAGTTTAGAGCCTCATCCAAGCCTCTGGTTCTAATACGTCAGCCTGCAAAAAGTTACCCACAGGGAACTTGTGAAATGGAGAGATTCTCATTTGGGTAAGGCCAGTGGTGCAAGAACCTTGGTTTTGAGAAACACTGATCACAGCACATAGCAGCACACAATCTCTAATTAAAAGGCCAAGATGTCCGAGAAGTAACACCAATGAAATCATTCCCTATAGACAAACTCCTCAGCAGACTCTACCATAACAGTATGAGGACCAAGTTTATCCCCCACCAAGGTTCCTTTCTACAACTAAGAGTTCGAAATAAATTCACATTTAATAATGATTGTACCAATTCTGAGGTGAAAGGAAGAGCACCAGGGATCTCCATGCTAAAAGAAACAGAATTCCCAAGGATGTCCATGCTACACAGAAATCAAATTTCTGCAGTAATGTTTTAGAATTGTAGTCCAAGGGGTCTTCGTAAAGTCTGTATAAAATTAAATGTGTATATTTTTGTATACTACTTTTAATATATTATGTAATCTTTCCAGTTAACGTTTTAGAAAGAACTCCAAAGAGAAAAGTTAATCTACATATTCTCTTATATTTCCTAGATACCAACATTTTCTGGTTTACAGTGATACGCGACAAAGTTATTTATTTGTTTTCTTGGATGCTGGAGACAGACATCTTTATTAAAGATACTACCAAAATTTTGGCAAACATTTCAAAACAGATTTGTAAACATAATGCTTCCCTTTTCAACTGGCAGCACTTTGAAAAGAATATAAGACAACACAACTTGAATCAACATTAGTTCAAAATCCTTTCTTTTTGACCATATAACTTATGTTCCCACATGATAAAACAAGTGATAGTTTAAATCAGCATCAACAGATAAACTCCATGAAATGAAAGTTTGTGCTATTTGATGAATCACAGTATGTTATGGTTAAATATATCCGCTTTTTAATATTCCTGGCAGCCAGGATGAAAAAAAATCTTTAAATATACATCTCATGTAGGTAATAGCTTCTTTGCATATCTCTCTTCAAAAAATACTTTATAGCAGTATATAAATAGGTTACCTACACATTTAATTTTATAATTTTGCCTCAAAACTATAGATCTGTTTCATTTTTATAACATCAGTTTTTGTCCAACATTTATAAAGCTGACAAACTGTTGAAATGGAAATGCTTTTGTCTTCCGTAATAGAAGTAGCAATTTGACAGGAAAAAAAACCCCTACAGTAACACTCGTCAGTTGTTTAACCTGAGCGTTTGGCCTACTGAGAGTAGCAGCTTTGTCCTTCATGCACGCTTGCATCCACATCACCTCTGCACACACATAGGTCGGGCACATGCTTTCAAATGCCAGTAGGCCACAGTGTGCTTCCCATTGCTCGACTCACAGGGAAGCAGTGCAGCTAATGATTAACCACACTATGTACATGACTAGCAAACACCTTAAGGCAACCATTGCAATGGGGGGTTAACTTGCAGGGTGGATTTAATAGTCTAGATCAAGTCAGCCTATATATACATATGCGTATAAAAATCTATACACATACACAGTCATACAACTCTCTATTTTTAACCCTCCAAAACAATGTTTTAATTTTTTTTTTGTATTTTGTGCAAATTTCTAAATATTCTACCATTTAAGGCAAAGAGTTTGCATTAAGAAAGGTCAGAAAATAGGCTTATGTTTATCCAAAAGCATTTCACCTTACACATTACATTACTGTTTTTTTTTTTTTTCTAAACACACACAAGTTTTAAGTGTGGACATTGGATCCCCAATATCTAAAAAATCATTTCTAATGACAAACACAAGTTTTTAAGGAAAAAAAAATGATTTGAAGTATATAAACACTGGATCTCCAATATCTAAAAAATTACTTCTATTAACAAACACAAGTCTTGAGAGGAGAAAAAAAGGACCGGCCAAAGCAGCTTCAAAATGCAGGGGAGCAAGGTAAAATGAAAAAAAAAAAAAAAGGAACTCAAGTTTACTAATACTGAAACTTCCAACAGGCAAAGTTTCATCTTTTTAGGATCTAGAGCAACTCATTTGGAATTTTAAATAAATAAGCTTAAGTTTATTCACATTTTCTGGTCCAAGCAGAGTTTTAGTGCCATGACTCTGCTTGCTGTTGGTCAAATTCACCTATTAGTCTTTTGATGTGAGCCAGCTTGTTATGAAGATACTCGCATCTGTATTTTTCCTCATGGTAATTGGGCCTAGACTGCAGATAAAAAATAAAAGTCAAACAGTGAGGAATTAGCTTGCAGAATTTACCATTCTCAACTACACGTTAGAAAATCAACAGTGATGATACTTACCTGCTTGATCTTCTGATATTCTTGTAAGACTTCTTCATGAACATTCTACAAAATTAAAAATTAGAAATCAGAAGAAAACAAAGGTTTTTTTGGCAATACAGTAGTTAACATGGAGTCAGTCAGCAAGGATGTAGCAAATGTCGATGGTGAGAATGTAACTTGGCACAATCTTTATGAAGGCAATTTGGCAGCAGGTATCAAAATAGCAAATGCAAAATTGACTCAGCAATTCTGCTCATACTACAGATTTACTTTCCCCCGAGTGAAATGATGTACACCTAAGGTTATTCACTGCAGCACAACTTGTAAAGCAAAAGATAGCAAATGATGTCAAGATGTTCAGAAATGTATACAAAGAATAGTAGGAGGCCATTAAAAATGGGGAAGCTTTCTGTACGGTTATAAAAAATTTCTCTGTGATGTATTATATTAGTTGGTGAAAAGAGTAAAGTACAAAATAATAGCCTGATGCCATTTGTTAAAAGAGGAGAAACACATAATGTAAGGATTTTATTACTTTTAAGATGTGCCTATCTTTCCATTTTAATGAAGCCAGGACAAAAAATAAGATTATCACAGTTTACATTGCTGGGGTAAAACACAATGATGCATTTTACAATTGAGGAAATCTTAGATTCAAATAAATATAGTACATATGTAAAATTACTTTCATATGTACATAAACACATTTTCGAAACACACTGTAATAAACTTCTCAAAGACTATGCTGGAACCAGTAGTAATGACTGACTCTGGTGGGGCAGGGAGCTGTGGAAAAGAGCTAGCTAGCCTGGATACAGCAGGCACTCAGCATGGACCTAAGCAGTTTATAAATGCTTACTTGTATTTATTACCCACAACAACTCTATGATTATCTATGATTTGTCTCTTTGAGTCAAAGAGGCATTCAATAACTAGCTCAAGGTCACAGAAGTATTACATGATAACTTGGAATCCAACCCACAAAGCATGTCTCCAGAGCCTGCTCCTAACCACTAAGCAATCCTCAGAATTACATTTTAGTTTAAAGACGATCATGTATACCGACAACTGTGTAGGAAAAATAACCTCAAATCACCATCTTGCCAACCTCTTATATCTGCAAATACTCATTCCTGTGGAAAAGTCTGTAGCTATTACCAGTTTTTGCTCCAGGCCCACTAGTAGAAGACCTAAGGAGCCTCTCGGATACAAATGGTCTTGGACTGTTTTTTTCTGTTGTGGGAAAACTCATCCATTCTCTCACATAGGTAAAAACAATGGTAGCGGGCTGGGACGGAGGCCCAGTGCCACCGATGATGTGGAGTGTGTCAGTTATCTGGCTTATCCAAAGAAGGAAATACTCATTTCTCTTCATCTTTTTGCTAAGAACTATGAAAACAATCAGGAGACAGGTCAGGGATCTACTGCTCTTTGAGAGCTACAGTACTGCCATGTATGGCAGAGAAGTAAAGATGGATTAATACTGGTTACAAACCATCAGTGTCTGGAAGGGCTGGAAGCACCTAGTTTTCTTCATCTCAACCCAAAACTCTGTAGTCTTTTGTTCCCTTCCTAGCCTACATCTGTATTGTCTCTATCCTATGTCACAGTGAGGTTTTTAAAAGTAATAATTTAAAAAATCTGCCGGGGATTTAGCTCAGTGGTGCCGCTGCCTGCCTCAAAAGTGCAAGGTCCCAAGTTCGATCCCTGGTACCAAAAAAAAAAAAAAATTTACTTGAAACAACACAGTTGGGGGAAAGTGCCAGACCCGGGATCTGCAGTCTGAGATGAGTTGGCAGTGTAGCCAACTTAAAGTCATCCCAGGATCCACCTTTTTTCCTATTTGTGTTTGGCATACTGCTCAACACACTATACATCATATTACCGTTAAGCAAAGTTTTGCCAACTGTGTTTCTTTATTTTCAAGAGCTGCATCAAATGTTTCATTTTCTAAACAGCAGAGAGGCTCATCTTCAAGAGACTGGCATTTGGGATGGCTGGGGCTGGGGTGGGCAGGGACAGAAAGAAAGAAACTAACATTTGAGGACAAATGTGTTTACCTGATACTCTTTTGAGCCTGGAGAAAGCCGTTTTCGTTGTGCATCCAGTTTGATAAATCTTCGAGCTACAGTCTCCATTCTGGCGTGCAAAGCCCTGTATTCATCATACTCAGCATTGAAGTCATCCTTGTAATTCTGGCGTTGCTCATAGGAGACAATAGCGATATATTTTCTATTAAGAAGAAAGATAAACGTAGATTAGCTACAGAACAAACTTGATCGCCTGAGTCGGAGATTTAAACCAACTCCCTAGAAACTATATCCCATGGCTATCCCGAGAATTTAACGCTACTCTGCCACTGGTCTGTTGGCCAAGTCACTCCTTCAAAAGACCTTCTAGGTGTAATGGTCACACAGGGACCAAAAGTAAATGTGAAAAAGACATGGTAGCAACAGAATTAACGTGCAACTACATAAAACGAAAATGGAATTTACATAGATTTGGTTTCCTGAACATTTCTTCCTGAAAAACAATTCACTACCACACTGATGGTAGAGGCCAATCCATCTGTCACCAGTCACACAGTCACTGAGTGCTGAAGTCAAAGCCCTCCCTGGACCCACTCCTTTATGATAGGGAGTCTGTCTTTCAGCCTTCCAGTCCTGTAGCAAGCAGAAATCCTCAACAAGGTGCCTCTGGCTTGCTGACCTCTATCCCTTTCCTTACATTTCTGATGAGACAAATATGCAAAATACAAGGGGGATTGTGTATAATTTTTTTAAGTGCAAAACAAAAAGTACACTTCCTTAGTTCTTTTCTAACACTTACATGTCATACTATATGCAGCAGAAAGCCAGCGTTCTAGCATTAGTCTAATATACTTAATAAAATGTACAAATCTATGTTCTCTTCTGGGGTGTGAATACTCCTTGGCAAGTGAAGGGCAGTTTCCCAGCATGTCAGTTTATTCAGTGCTAAGTAAATTAGTATTAGACAATATTATTTATTTGTAGATTTGGGAACTAGGGTATCAGGCCTGGATCTCTGCGCTCTATGCGCCTGTCATGGAATGCAAAATTTCCTTGACTACTGGAGATTCAAAACTCAGATTTCAAGCAGGTGGTGGGACCATCAGGCTGCACCCTTCAGTACACACTCTTCACGGTGGTAACATCCTGGAGTTCAGGCCTTTCCAAGTGGCTTTATGTAATCGGTACCAGTTTTATTTAAATTCCTCTATCACAGACGCCTAGCTTCAAATGTGAGAAGAGTGACGCGGCGAGCAAACTCAGTGTCCTCATTAATATTTTTATTCACGTTGGCACAGACAGCGGGGGGGTTTCCTTTGCTAAGTGTAACGGAGACAGCGGCAGGGTGCTGATTTAGAGCCACCCTGCTGGCGGCTCAGCTGTGAAGGCAACACTGCCCGCCAGGAAGGACGCTGTCCTTCCCAGACACCAGAGGGAGCCCAGAAGGGAAAAAGGTTCCCAGGCATAGGCAGATGCAAACAAGAGGCTAAACCAGTCTTGAAACTTGGACTTCATTTGTTGTACATTTCTCCTGCTTTGTTTTCAAAAGCCATACCCTTAGTATTTTATTTAATAATTTTCTCGGGGAAAAAATACCAAACTGGTCAACGGTTTTGTTGCTGTTTGCTTCTACTGGTATTTGAACAACAAGCATTTCATTATTTTCAACGAAAACTGTAATGGCTTTACAGCTGGTTCGTAATGAGGTAATATCATAAAACCTTAAACAGTCTGGATAACTCACAACCACAAGTAAGAAAAGTATCCTTAAATAAAAATTAATGATATTATGTTTAAGTATGAATGATCCAAAAGCTGATCATTTAGGCTTTCTAGTCTGTCCTTTTGGATTTCTTGTGATGCAATTTAAATTCTGTATTTTTTGAATTTTCTCATCACATTTATTTATATAAGACTCAGTTTTTGGTTAAAATAAATTGCTTTTATCTAAGTACACAGCCCCAGCACTAGAACCATGACAAACATACAGAAATATTCTGAGGCAGATGCAGCAACCACCCTTAGACCAGTACCTAAAAAAAATCCTTTAAATATAGAATTAACTAATTAGGTTGGCAAAACATAGCAACAGCCTCAAATCCATAGGGAAAAGCTTAGATTATTTTTTTAGTCTCCCCACCTGATTTTGTCATATACAAAAAGATATGTCACTATTAAGAAAAGAGGCATTCAAAATCTGTCACAAGAGAAGGTGAACGCAAGTGGCATCTTGTGGGGGCTATGTGAGGGGCTGAGCTGTGAAAGATTTTTAAGGAGAAGTGGATGTCAGTGGAGAGGTGGGCCCCACTCAGCAGGACAGCCAGGGGCAGTCCTGGAAGCCTGGCTGCAGACCAGCGACCGTTCTGGGCCACTTGGAGGTAGCTACTTTGCGTCAAGGTTTTTTTTGATACTGGGGATCGAACTCAGGACCTTACGCTTGCAAGGCAAGGGCAATGTCACTGAGCTAAATCCCCGGCAAGGTTTTCTAAACCATACCCTGTCTCAGATGACAGAGCAGTCAGTGAGATGATGACCAGCATTACGGGTTCCTGCCATCTCCTTCCTCAATAAGTATAATTTCCACACAATGGATTTTCAGTCTAAAATGTTCTCTCCTCTGGAAATAAGCAGGGCCAAACAGCTTAGTTTAACTTTGTTACAAGTTAAAAACAATGGAGATGCCACAACAGGGAAAGTAAAAAGTTCACACAGCACAGATTCTGCTTTCCATTCTACATTCTAACTATTTTGCACATTTGTTCATTTTTAAAAGTATCTGTCTGATGTTTGTTCTTTCACTCTATTTTTCAAGGCCCTTGTGACTTAATTATTTTGTTCTTACAGAAGCCTTTTATTCTGTAGAAAAGCTAGAATTATGTGTCCAACTTATAATTTCTGTGATAACTAGTTGCAAATATGTCTCCATCTTAGTGTTTATCAACTTGTTGTCATAACAAGAAAAATATTAACTGGTACTAAAGTGAAACGATCGAATTTTACTACTGTCTCCCTTAAAATTAATTTTGAGGGCAGAATGCATTTAAGAGAAAAACCAACCGAACTCTACTTTGTATTACTAAGTGCAGAGTTCAAGCACTGTCAGTAGTAAATTATCCCTTTGGGGGGCCCAAGTGAATGGCTATGGTCATTGATAGACTGTCAGCTTTGAAGAGTCAGGTCCCTGAAATCTCCCATAATCAAAAGCTTGGCCTGGCCCTGGAACAAAGAACAGGCTTCTCTATACTTAAAAGCCAATGAACACAGCTCAGAACAGGGAGGCACAACCTGCTCCTGCAGACAGGGGTAGATTTGGGACAGCAGGCTTAATGGCAGCCTTTCAATTGCAGAGGTGGCTCCAGGACTCTATTTCTGGAATTTCTGGCTTTTTTGATTTGCAAATTACGGGAAAAGAATTTGCAAACTTTCCTAAAATTAAACAGTTTTCTCCACTGGCAGGCGGATGAACTTACATCAAATAATCTGGGAGTTCAATTGTTGAAGATGGCTCCATGGAGGCAGTGCAACCCTCTTTAACTCCTATGGAGGGAAAAAAAAATTTCAGAGTGTTTGCCAACCAGTATGGTTATCAAATGCCTGCAATTCTAAAATAGATTAGAACCATCTGGAACACTTTTTCTCAAATTCTATTCTTCCATCTCAATAAGCAACAGTGAGCAAGGAATACAATTGAACACGAACAATAGAGGCCCTCTCACCAGCACCAGCAGAACTGACGCCAGGCATTAAAGCGCCCTGGCTACTGCAGTGTCTGCACAATGAAGGAATTCCATCTTAACCCAAGGTCAATCTGCTATTCTTTCAACAACAGTTGTGGCATCTGCCCAGCAATTCAAAGACTGTGGTGGCAGATGCAGCCACACAATAGGAGATACAAATTTTACATCAACATCTACTTTTTATGGAAGTCAAACAAGGCACATGAGACAATCAAGTCAGGTAACAGACTGCTTTGGTCACTGTATTTTTATTGCCGCCCTTTTTGTGTATGCAGACAGTGGAATTGGGTAGGAAGCTTTCCCATCAGTTAAAATATGGTGTTACTGAATACTGATTTATTTTCCTCTAACCTCTGGTCCTCATAACACTAAAGAGATATTTCTTTAAGGCCAAAAAAACAAACAACAAAACAAAACCTCACCACACACAAAAAGAAAAACAGAAACCCCCCTCAAATTCCTATCAGTCATGACTATGCTGTTAAGCTGTATAAATTTGCAATATTGCATTTACAATGCACCATTTCCAAGGGCTATGTTTAGATCTTGCATTAGGGTAATGTTTTTTATCATTTAAAGTAAAGTTAAGCTAGTAACTCAAGCCCTAACTTGCCTACTGGCAAAATATTTATGTCTGCTATAAAATAAATGTAAATATCTGTCCACTTCTTAGTCTAGTATTTTAAATGGCAAAGTACACTGAATAAGTTACATAGACCTGGTGGGCTTACTGTTCACCTGTATACATGTGATTCGGGCTTGGGTACCAGGAAAGGACAATTCTCCCTTTGCCACAGATGGCAGGGAAAAGATAGAGAGCCGGGGTTCTGAAAGATACTCTGCATAAGCTCAAGGAAGGATGCAAAGAGACTAGGTCTCTAAGAACACTCCAAGTTCTGCTGGGGGTCTCAGTCCTCCTGGCAGGAGGCAGGGACTCAGGATCTCCCTGAGGTGGGAAGCGTGGAGAGTGGAATATGTCCAGGAACCTGGCTGATTGATGAGTGTTGAACACAGTTGTACTTCTTCATGGCTTTTCCTGACTTGACAAATTCAAGTACCAGAGTGTTGGAGGGGGAAAAAGCCTATACCTACCTCTTAGGCCATTATATAGTATTACACTGGTCTAAATACTTCAACAGATATGCAACACACCCAATCCAGGGCGACAAAGGCACTGTATGCTAGTATTCTACAACTCCTCCAGGAGATCAATCAGAGCTCCTCTCACATAGCAAAAATGGTCATTAAACTTAAGGTGGTATGGGCATGAGGCAGAAAGTCAACACTCCTTAAAACTCTGTGAAACTCTGCACATTAAGAAACCCCAGTTTCCTGGGGGATTTTGCCTTGGCTATTCTGAATTTAAAATTGGCTGCTATGCTAAATGATGGATTTAGATCTTCTATGTCCTGGCACAAGAGACATTATACTTTAGGGGGTTTTTTGGTGCTGTTGTTAAATAAGGAAAATCTAAATTTGCCATTAGATTTTACAGATTAGTATACCTCAGCTAATCAAAGCAGCCTTTCAGGTGATAACTTTTGTTTAGAGATAAAGAATTATTTTAAACTTCTTTGAGTCTCTAGATATTTGACTTCTAAACTTCTCCCTAAAGCCTTAATTTTCCTAAAACCTAAATTATAAATTTTAATCACAATTGATGTTAGTTTACTAAAAATTGAAAAATCAAGACAAAAAAACTTTAAGCTCTATTAAGCCAATGGCCCACAGCTTTGCAAAAGACAAATTGCTTTCACTGCAAATGAAGGTGACGTTATGTGTCTGCAAATGTAATTTTACTTTATCTATTTTATCAAGAATTTGACATTTCCCCTGTGCTAATATTAATTAAAGCAGAGGTGCCACTGTTTCTTTGAGAAAGAAATGAATATTTCTATAGTTAATTGTGTCTGGTTAAATCAGTTCAAGAATGGCATATAACATTCATACCGAGGTTGCACAGTATCTAACAAATCAGGAAGAGTACACTTCTAAAAGGGAGTCTTTGGAGGATGACAAGGCCATTATCTTATTAACAAATACAGAAATCATGTTTAATAGTTGGCTAGAGAGGGACAACACACAGCAGTAAAATAAAGGAAAAATCTGCTCAAAAGCACAATATTAATGGTTAAAGAGGTCATTTGCTTAAAAAACATTACTAATTCTAAGCAGCATAATCTCAAACTCACAATAGTATACACTTCTAGTTCCTTTAAAACAAAAGGTCAGTTTTTTACAGTACCTTCATTGGAATTCAGACTGGAGTTATTCAGCTTGGCAATCTCCTCTTCTCTTTGAATGTCTTCTTCCTTATCCTCAATAGTCTCAAGGTCATGTTTTTTCATTTGGTCCTTTTCCTTGTGTTTTTTAGATTTCTTTTTGGACTTTTTGTGAGACATTGAATGGTTTTCTTCCATAGGCTTTGGACACTTTAGTAGAACTGAACCAGGGGATAATGTTTCCAGAGAAGTCCTAGAGGTATATTTGTCTTGCTGGTCCTCATAGATGCTACCATTTTGACTAAAACTGTCAACAGGCAGGTCTTGAGTCCCCCCGCCTTCTGGAGTGCTAGGGGAATTGGAGTTAGAGTTTACAGTCTGCGGAGGGTTGGAGACAGGCAGGTGCGTCAAAGGCAGCGGTGGAGGAGTGGGGATGGCAGCGGCTGTGGGATGTGGAGGGAGGCCCGCAGTGGATTTCTCACTGGTGGGATTCAAATGACCATTTAATGTCGGTGGCACTCTACTGGTCAGGTGAGATATGCGAGCTTTTTTATTCATTAAAGGATCAATAAAATCTGAATCCAAAGGCCGTTTCTGAGGGGGGAAAGGAAAAAAAAAAATGAGCCAGTTTGTACCAAAATTTAGTAAATTCAATATATGTATGATTGTTTAAACAACTGAGTAAACTTACTCATACTAACTTTTCTCCAAACTTAAGCTAAAACAAAACAAAACTCTACAATGACCCCAAACCAAACCAAACCAAACCAACAAAAAAAAACCACAAGTAAAATAAATTTTCACGTCTAATTTCAAAAGCAAAATCTGGCAAATATACATCTCTTGGAGGGCTTATTCAGTTCTTTCTGGTCATTCAGTCTCATCCTAAGTTCTTAAGCATTTATGCAATTTACGTGGATTATTGAACACAGGTGCCACCCTCCATCCTGGCCTTTGTTGGCCTAATTCTATTAAATGGGGAGAGAAAGCAACTGGTACCATTTGAGTGAGAACTGACAAGGCTGGGTGAAAGGCAATATGCCTATACTCATTTAATGTCTAATGTGCTGAAAGGCTGCAGTTATGAATATTTTAGCTGTCACTTATCATTGTATCTGTCTTAGAATGGAAAGTCAAACTTTTCAGAGCAATTTCTTTAAGTATCCCTATCATTGCTGAAATGCTATCGCAATTTTTAAAATAAATTTTTAGATATCTCTTCACCATATTGTAAGGCATTTATATGATCCACTAAAGTAATGTGGAAGTACTTTTTAAAAAGAATCATGCTAATATCAGCTCAGTTCAACAATAACAACAGCATTTAAGTTGAAAGGGGATTCAATAGCCAAAAGCATAAAAAATTAAGTCCATATTTATGAATAAATGTACCACTGTGGGTTGTATTTGAGCATAAAGAAAATATTAATCAACCCATGAATTTATTCTCTTTTTAATTCAGCACCATTTGGCACCTGCTATGCAAGTTTTTTCTTTTTTTTACAGTGTAAGCAAATTTATTTAAGATACAGAGGCAAGAAAGTAAAAGATATAAAGGCAAGGAAATAACGTTCTAGCTATCTTGAACTCACCAAGCAGCCCCCGCTGGCCTCAAACTCCCCTGCTATGTAATTTGATCAGAGGAGAAATAGCTTGGCATAAGGTAAGGCTTCTACAGACAAGGCACATGCAAGGGTAAAACCTCCCCGATCCCTCACAATAGGTTTCTAACATGTTCTGGCGTGTGAACAGCCTTTTGGCCTGGGCACACTTCCTGTTCTCCACACGTCTGCTTCTCCCCTTTACTTAGGGACAGGGTCCAGGGACAGAGAGCATAGCAGGACATAGCAGGTCTTTCCCACTGTCTGTCCAAAGGACTCAGGACACTGGAAGTCTATCACTCAGGGGGAGCTGGAGCACTGGCCGATCAGCTGAGGAGCAGAACACTCAACTCCAGCACTGCTCAGGAACTCCTTCAATCTTTTGTAGGATGGGCTCATCTCACAGGGGAACTAAACTGGAATAGTCTGATTGAAAGTATTCTGGTTCAGATCCAAGTGGGAAGAGCTCTTGTTGTTTATTTGCTTATTGCAAATATATTTTTCCCTACAAATATTTTTCTAGAATATGTTTCAGATAATGTTCCCAGATATAATCTGAGAATTGGATGAAATTGGACAAATCTTCTAGTTAATGACCAAACTGAAAAGTAGGTACTCTTGTAATAAAATGTACACTTTAAAAATGGAAAGCAAGCTGCGCATGGTGGCACATGTCTTTAGTCCCAGAATTCAGGAGGCTGAGTCAAGAAGTTTGCAAGTTCGAGGTATGCCTCAGCTACACAGTACACAGTGAATCTGAAGCTAGCTTGGACTACATAGTGAGGCCCTGTTTCAAGGGCATTAAAAAAAAAGTAAGGTATGCATTAAGTACTCTGACAAGCAGTATGGCTTTATAACTTTATCATATACCTGAGGAGAGGAGGCAGCATCTCTACTAGAACATACGGGAGATTCTGAACGGCTGGTGCCAGCAGAATTCTGAGATGGATTTAGTTTTCTGTAAAGGACACATGTTTCAGATAATTAAAGAGAACTTTAAAATGTTCATGATAGAAAGCTCACCCTTGCTTCTCTTTCCCACGTCAACACTAAAATAACAGTGATTGAAACAATTACTTATTTGCACCATCTTTAAAGAAAAAAACGGAACAAAAGAACATACCTAGCAAGCACCAACTCTAATGACCGCCTGTCTGTTTCACTGTAACCCGGCCAGTCTCGATGAAGCTCCTTAAACACATAATCCTTTAAAGTATAGGACAGATCCTTAGGGTTCAGATTGGCTACCTGGTATGCGGTGTAAAAAGAGAACATTAGATATTTCTGCTAACTATTTAAAACAGGTGATCTTTAGGATGTAGACCGAAAATAATTATACAAATTTGCCTTAAAGAGACTGCTAGTTTTATACATGGCAGACCTTAATAAATGTCATGCAACCTTATTTTGGGAAATTGAAAACATAAAATGTATTTTTTCCCGGAAGATCATTTCACTTGCAAAATTTCCAATCAAATAATAAAGCTATACTAGGAAGAAAAATGGAGGAAAAATTTTTTAAAATCAGTTTTCCCTTGTCAAAAGGATTCAAAACAGTTATATTAGCAAAACCATTATTTACTTCTTGTCATTATCTCCGTAACTTTTGAGTCACAGTAAAAATCCCTGATCATGTGTATTAAGTAGAAAATAAACAATGAATAAATGTTGGGTTATCCTTTCCTTTTAGCTGTCAACAGAAATTGTCTTTATAAATAGCATCAATTCTGATAACCTCTTCTGTCATTTTCTTTTGGAAAACCAAGTTCAGGCTCGCTCCTCATAACTGACAGGCCTCCTGAAGAACCACTTATTAGAAGTCCTTGAAATTCCCCCAAACCAACAAACGGAAACATAAACTAAAAAAAAACCCAAATAACTGTTATTAGCCAGACGGTTTATTCCCAAGTATAATCTCTTCCTATCCTGTAAATATAATTCATAGTGTTGAGGTCTATAATCCATTTACCATAAAACAGAAGTAATTTTTAAGGCTAAGAAAAAGATATTTCTGCCTGACATTTAGATTAGGGATGGTCCATTTATTTATTTATTGACTGATTGGTGGTGGGGATCAAACTCGGGACCTTCCGCTTTTGAGGCAGGTGGCAGAACCACTGAGCTAAATCCCCAGCCCAGGGATGGCCCTTTTAATAACTTGACTTCTGTGTTTTTAACAAGTACTATAAAATATAAAATAATTTATGCTTCTCTCACAGTCCAGTGAAGTACTATTCTGATATTAAAGCTGTTATAAAGTAGAAATAGTAGGCTGATTTTTTTGGTACCGGGGGGATTGAACTCGGGTCCTTGCGCTTGCTCAGCAGGTGGCAAAACCACTGAGCTAAATCCCCAGCCCAATAGTAGGCTGATTTTAAAATTGAAATTTGCCAATAAAGTATAGGCTACAAGCAGATTTCTTTAAGTGGGATAAAATAGAACAGTTCTTCAATTTTTGAACACCTCCAACACTACACATTAATACCCCAGCCCATGGCGCTATATGGTGGAGTGCTCAGGGCTTGTCTTCGCCCTGCTGTTTACATTCTATGTCTTTACATTCCATTCAACTCTAAGACTCTGAATGCCCAATCTATATGGGTTCATTCCTCAATGTATTGCTTCAGCTCTAACTGTCCTCTGAATACCAGACCAGACCTCACATGCAATTACCTATTGACCTCTCTCTCCATTTGGATACGTCTAATGAACATCTTCCAAACAGGACGTATGTATCTTATGGAGAGAATTTCCGAACACCATTCTGAACTGCACTTAGGCCCGTTCCTTTTCTATCCCTCCTCACTGAGTGGCTCAGGCTGAAAACCTAGTCATGATCACACAGATTCCATTCTTTCCCTCGCCCTCTCACTACATCAGACCCATAAACACATCTTGTCACAAAATATATCTCCACTCTGATAAACCATCTTCACTGTGCCCACCAGGTTAAGCGACTAACACTTCACACCTGGATTTCTGTAGTGGGCTCATGTAAATAGTTTCTTTCTTCTGTTTTTGCCTCTAAGCTAATCATGCCATAGAAGTTTGGTCTTATTAAAAGTTAAATTAGATTGTAGTATATTCTTACTTAAACTTCTAATGTGATTACCCATCTTACTCACAATCTAAATTCCCTGCCCAAGGCCTGAAAAGGTCCCCTGGAATCTGGCCTTGATCCCTCCTCTACCTTGAATGTACCAAGCCCTCTCATCTTCCAGGCTTCCTGCAAGGCTGACTCATCATCTTCTTGTCGCTTGCTCATCATTTCAGTTAAATTGAACCATCCAAGAAAGGCGTTCCCTGAATTCCCCCCTGGAAGCAGTGGCTCTCTCTCCCAGCTCCTCTCCCTTATTCTCCCTGAAACTGTCTCATGAATGTGCTCCAGGGAGGCAGGGATTGTCCGCTGGGGACACTTTGGGATTCCAACACTTACAACAGTGTCCCATGTACTGTAGGTGCAGGCATCTGTCAAATCACAGCAGATGGGTTCTAGGAATCCCATGGATATCAAAATATTCAGTTTCAAGTCTCATATAAAATGGTATAGATTGTAAGTATCGTCCCATATAACTAAATAATTACTAGGTTACTTAGAATACCCAACGTAAATATTACGTAAATAGTTGTGACACTGTATTGTTTAGGGAATAATGGCAAGAAAAACAATGTGTACAAGTTTAGAACAGGTACAATTTTCCCCTCAAATATATTAGGAAATAATGATAGGAAAAACAATATGTACATATTCAGTACAGATACAATTTTTTCCTAAATATTTCTGATTTGCAGTTGGTTGAATCCACAGATGTGTAGGGCCAAATGTACTTAACAAATTGAAGTAAATGAATGAATGCTGAGCTTGAGCCAAATATCCAAATGTTAAGCTCAAGAACATTATTCAGCTTTATATAGTTGTTTTTTTGACTTAAAAATTTCTTTTTTTCAAGAAAACACTCATTGTAAGAAAAAGGAAGCTTTATAAATATGTAAGTTTAGTGATAAACAGTATTTAACCAAATTTCCTGATGAACATTAACTGTTTTTAAATTTGGGTACAATCTTTCAGCTTTTACTGAGAGCTAACAAGTTACTTTAAAAACCTATTACTTTGAAAAAAAAACCTATTACTTTTATAAATTAAAAAACATAGAGTACTGAAAACTGCTATATAAAGAACAAATCAGCAAATATCGATCGGCATAGGCAAGGCAGGACTTATCATTTAGGCACCCCGTTTGCCCACTAGTTTGTATTGGACGGAATTACCGGCTTTGGATGATTTGTACATTTTTGTACTCGTCTCGTTTTCTCCCTTTCATGCCTGCGTTTGGTCCATTTCACTGAAGCACAGTCATTGGATGTTAGCTGTTAGGTATGTTCTAAGGGAACATTTTGGTTTAAGTCAAAGTTCTGAATGTGCCTTTGTTATCTTCCCTGAGAGGATTAAATGAGATTATGCACGTGAACTGGCCAGAGCAGGGCCTGCCTCACAGTACACCCCCCCCCAAGTGGTAGACATTATTGGCGCTTGTATGTATGTTTTCACTGGGCTGGTGGTTTTCAGCCCACGCACTTTAGAGTTACTCAAGAGCTTTATACAATGTTGGTGCCCAGGCTCTATCTTTAGACACTTGGATTTAGTTGGTCTAGGGTAGACTTCCAGCACAGGCATCCCCCCCACCGCCCCCATTAAGTTTATTGGTACATTTTCGGCATACAATACAGTTATATTCATCATTGGGATCTTGTACCATTACATGAGTCTCTTGGTTCTTATTTTTTTTCCCCTTCCCTTGCCCTCCCTTCACCCCCTCCACCCTTCCCTATTTGCAAAGACCTTGTTTCCATTTTTTTTCCTCTTCTCATATTTTTTCCTTTCTCTTTTTTCCCTTCCCCTACCCCTCCCAATTCCCCTGCTCCTTTAGACCTTTTCTTCCTGTTACACAATATCAGTTATACATTTTTTAAATTTACAATATCAAGATCTAGGAGACATTACCACAGATTTTACAGAATTTAAAAGGATACAGAAAGCATATTACAAAAATCTTTTTTGAAATAAATTTGACAACTTCTAAGAAGTACCTTGGAAGACAAATTAATGAAACTAACTCTGGAGGAAATATAAAATTTGAATAGCACCTATTAAAGAAAGTATATTCCTGGGCCGGGCATTTGGCTCAGTGGTTTTGCTGCCTGCTGCACATGCGCAAGGACCCGAGTTCAATCTCCGGTACCAAAAAAAAAAAAAAAAAAAGAAAGTATATTCCTAGCTTGCAAACCTACCTATATGAAAACAGCAGGCTCATAAACATTTTAACTGATAAATTATATCAAACAATTAAAGCAGAAAAAAGAAGGAACACTTCTCCCCTCATTTTAGGAACTCAACATTAGCACAGGCATTTTTTAAAAAGCTCTCTGGGGTATTCTAATATAATATACAGCCAGGATGAGACTACACTCTAGATTCTACTAAGTGACCAACACTTTAACAACTTTTATGTCTCACTTGCTCAGGGTCAAGAATATTTACATTTTTATAAGTCTTTTTTTTTCTTTTCTGGTATTGAGGATCAAACTCAGGACCTTGCACTTGTGAGGCAGGGGTGGCACCACTGAGCTAAATCCCTGGCCCATTTACACTTTTAGATATGTCTGAGTATGCACAGATGCAGTCACAAAGCTACTGCCATCTCTCAGTAGTGGCTTCTTTGGGAACCATCTCTGCCCCTGTCTTCGTGTTGCCTTCTCCATCCTCAAACCAGAAGGTAATTCACAACATTTCTAGAGATGCAGCTACCAAATATTTTGTGGTAAACACCTCCCCTTATCCCATTTTGTTCTCTCTTTCTTTTGGTCTCTTAAAACTGCTACATGACATATGGACTTAAATTGTTTCCAGAAGATATTCAATGGATTTAATAAAGATCCTTGAGACTCACCAACATGTCTAAGAGACTGGCTAACCCTGAACTGGATTTATAACATTGTATTTTATGTTTTAATATAAGAAATAATGAGAATTAGACTGCTAATCTGTAAGCTTATGATTATAAGGTAAACGATCACAGCTAATACTTTGCACCTTCATATCCTATAATGCAGGCAAATGGCTGATCTTGGTTTACCGAGGGGCAGAAAAAAGGCACAGCCATAAGGGCAACGAGGAGTATAAATGCAAGAGACATTCTGTACCACTTAGTAGGCAAAAATATTCTGACTTACACCAAATGGAGACCAATATAGAATACATCATACAACTTTATATAAACCAATGAAAAGTAAAGCTATAGTTTAGGTAATTCAAGACTAAGAGCAGACAGCAAAAACTTCTTGCTTTCTTTTTAGTGGAATTTTAGGGCAAAATTTGACCCAAATGAAGACAATGTCTACATTTTAACTAGTTTTTAATTAAATGCATTAAAAGGTGATTTCATTTAATTATTATGAATTCCTTTCATATACCATTAATCATAATGACTGTGAAATCTCTCTGTCTCAGTAATAATAATGACAACAAGAATCCTTGCTAAGTGAACTTCTCAAGATGGGTAAGCAGAAGACTAAGCTGCCCTCACCTGCTGCAGAATCGCTCCCAGGGAGTTCTTGTCTTTCTGATTGACACCATCTCTCTGCAGTCGGGCCAGCAGCTCAGGTTTCTTGTAGGCCTTGAGAGCCAGTAAGTGAATCACTCTGTCCCTATAAGGCCGCTGAGAAACACTGCCGCCGCCATGTGTCTTTCGAATTGTATTGGCAGGGTTCATGGGGGTTGACCTTTTCCTCTCAGGCACTGCATCTGAGACGGCTGGAGGTGCTTTCCGAATCTGCACTCTTTTCCCTAAAGTCCAGGAAATGACACAGTTACACATCTGTGGGTTAAAAAAGCCTCTCAATCTCCACAACTCTGATTAGATGCCTCTTCAATTCTGGAGGAGTAAAGGCCACTTTATTTCAGTTTTTTTTCTTTAAAGAACCATACAATGTATTCTTAACAGATGGCCTAAAATATGAATTGGAAACCTTTGATGGACCCCTTTCTTAGAATAAATATTATAGATGGATTCTGGCCACTTAACTATACATGGATAATAATTAGTGACACAAACTGTAACAGACTAGAAACTTTTAGACTGTAGGTTATTCAATGTTAAATCGAAATAAGGTAATTTCCATGCTCACCTGTGCTATTTACGGAACTTAAATCAGAATATTACATATGCCATTTCTGAAAAGCACACATGAATACAGTGAACATGGTGAAATGTGAAAACTACCTCAGACCTCAAAATAAGAGAATACTCTTGGCAAACCCAGGGTTTTACTTTAATAATTTCAGATTCAGAAGCTGCAAGGAGGGGAATCAATATCCACTAGTACTATTCCTTTTCAACAGGCCATAGCAAACTTTAGGAGTCAAGAAATAAAACCAACCAACCAGCCAACCAACCAACCAACTAGCCAACAAACAAAACAATCTCAGAGGGCCAAACAAATCTTTCCTCTGTGGAACTGGACTACATAGATGAGTTAGAGGAATGGAAAATGGTACAAAGGGGGCCTTTACACCATTTACGCATGGGCTGGTACCATTCATGAAGGTGATTCATTTTCTGCTTGGACTGAACACTGACACTTGGCAAGTGGCTACTTCTGGAGAAGGTGTGGGCTGAAGCGACCTGGTTACTGTGTGTGCATGTGTGCGTGTGTGATGCTGGTCACTGAGAGCCCAGTATCAATCGCTGCTGAAGGAAGAAAAAGGAACATGAAATTTATAACACTCTCATTTTATGATTTCAGGTTAGACTCTTTTAGCTCATTTAGTAAACATGAAGGCCAACTCCATGCTTTGTGGTTAAAGTGGGGGAATAACTAGTAGTGACATGTGATATGGGGTGATTACATTAAGAACAGGACTAGCAACTAGAACAATGGGTAACTAAAAGCAACTTCCATGAGCTATGAATCAGCTTACCAGGGCAGCAGCTTTCCTGAGCACTAACTGTGTCCAAGCTGGGTTTCCTGGGCCTGGCCAGAAGGCATATTTGCCTTGTCCTACCATATCCTACCTCAAGTAAGTGAAAAAGGATGAATGTTCTTAGGAAACTGCTACCAGCTGGTGTATTTCTTTACTATTTGTACATAACTAATCACAGGGATCAAATCAAACCACCGTACAGAAAAGGAACTCAACACTAAGTGGACACTGTCTCAGAAGAAGAAAAACTATTAAATTAAGTTACTTAGTTTTAGAGACAGACTTGGATCTGGTTTCTGTATTCTTCATAATGTAGAGACAGCTAGGTCAATGTCTGATGGGAAGGGAACTATTTATTATGCACTAACTATGTGGGGAGGCAGTGTGCTAAGAGCGTCACGCACATCATGTCGCTCAGTCTCACGGCCATGGGAAGAGGTGAACACTGTGCTCATTTCACAGTGGGAAGTCTGGGGCTCGGCGGGCTCTGTGCAGGTGGTACAGTGCTCACTTAGCTCACTTAGGGATGTCCTGGGATTGAGAGACCCAGATGTCCTCGCTTGTACTTCTTTGTGGGAAAGGTTGTGTGAACAAATCCTTCATGTTGTGCTGTTGCTTCTTGTGAAACTGTAAGCTCTGTAAGGAGAGGGCTGAGGCTGCTTTCTCCACCAGCTGAATCTGAATCAGTATTTGATGACTAAGTGAATGACAGCAAAACAGCAAATAAGCAGATTTGCCCACACTGTCAGGCTGCCAAAGCACGAGGACACACTGAAGTCCCCAAAGAGATTTTTTTTTCTTTTTTTGTAGTGCTGGTTATTGAACCCTGCACCTCCAAGATACATCCCCAGCCCAGCCTCTCTTTTTCTTCTTTTCTCTTTCACTGTCAGTCATTTAAAAAAATTATTTTGAGGGCCGGGGATTTAGCTCAGTGGTTCCGCCGCCTGCCTCACAAGCACAAGGACCGGAGTTCAATCCCCGGTATCAAAAAAAAAGAAAAAAAAAATTATTTTGAGACAGATTCTTGCTAAGTTGCCAGGCTGGCCAAAACTTTAGGATTCTTCTGCTCCAGCTTCCTGAGCAGATGGGATTATAGGTGTGCACCACCATGGCCAGCTTAAAGTGAAATTTTAAAAGCAAAACTTCCAATCTACCATTTCTCAGTTGTCACAGGGTTAAGATTTCTATTCTTTGAAAATTTAGTAAAAATTTGTGGGAAAAAAAATAGGGGGTGATGGTCATAAAAGGTTAGGAAATTCTACATTTGCCAAGTCTTGTAGAAAAGAAAACTGTTTAACTCACCCTTTTCCAGACCAAGCTGACTGGTCATTTAGAATGAATCCAAGCCAGCAAAGCAAACAAATAAAAACAGAAAGTGACAGGACGGGACTGCTGCTGCCTTCCTTCCTGTGTGCTTCTGTGTCATTTCTGCCCCTGGGTCTCAGAAGGGCTCAAGGTCTGTAGTGTTTGCCCTCCTCCCAAGCACCCCAAGGAGTAACCAGATGGGAAACAAATAAGGGAGGCTAACTTTGCCCTTCAGAGGCGAATGCATGTATTTGATAAAAATGAGACTGTTCAGGGAGAGGACAGAGTTGGAGTCTCACCGGAGGTCTAGAGCTAGGTTGCTATATCCCTCAATACACCCACTTCACCTTTTTCCTCATTTTTCTTTTAGACAGCCAGTTATGGCATAGCCCATTTCTTTCCGATCCTTGAAAGAACAATTCAACCACTGTGAGCCACTGAATGTACTCAAAGATCACTTTGCTCACTGATTCCTCATCCTTTTTGTGCCTATTCAACCAAGGAGCCCTCAGCTTTAAGGCAAAACAAGCTACAGGTTGAGAAAACATTAGTGATGTAAATATTTACAGAATTGAGATGCTACAGAAACGAAAAAGTACAGTAGGAATATGTCAGGTTCAAAGTAGGCAGAATGGCTTTATTTTTATTTTTAATATTTGCCTCAGAAAAGCCCTTTTAATAAAGCCGATGGGAAAACCTAATTCTCTTCCCAGGTCCAACTGCTAATCAATTCCCTGGGCTCCTTTATAAGCAGCAGCAATGGTACCAACAGGGCTGGGTAATCTGGGACTACATCGGCATCATTGTTTCATAACAAGGAGTCTACTTCTAGCCCCTCCTTTAACACGAGATGGTAGAAGTATTTATCCCTCAGTCTATTGGCTCTGAGCAAACAATCTGAAAGGCAGATTTTAGAGCAGCCCATCAGGAAGGCAGCAGACTGTAGCTGTCTTCCCGCTTTTTCTGTTTTGTAGAACCTGACCAGAAGCCCTGGCAACACAAACCCAAGGGTTTCTACGACTGGCTTCTCTTAGTTCACTGAAAACAAAGTTTTGTGCTAATATATTTATCTCTTTTTTGTGAGAGAACCTTTTCTACGTTTTTTACTCTGGGTAACTACTTTGAAGATAGCAATATACAGTGTATTAACTCTTTTTATTCTCTTATTATAAAATTTTGTGTTTTTTTCATAAAACAAAAAAATAAAGCAGGTTAATTAGGTTTATTAAAAAAACAAGAACCATCAGCAGGTTCATGACAATAATGTAGCCTCTGCATGATTAAACACTGCAAAGGAATCCATCTCTACCATTTGGCATTTGTGACCACCTTTCAAAAGGATATATATATATATATATATACACACATATCAGACACAAAATGTTAAACTACAAAGGGCTTTAGATATTATCTACTTCAAATCCTCCTCCTTTACTACTGGAAAAAATTAAAAAATTAAGATGGCAAATGATTTGTCCAGTCACTTAAATATATAGCCCATCAAAAATAAGGAGACCAGGGGCAGAAGCTGGGAAAATTGAAAACAGAATCCTAGATATTAGGTTGGTTGGGTTATTTTACATACCTAGATAAATAATGATAAATATTTGCAATGCAATACATTTCATAATTTAGGTAGGAGCCAATGAATAGTCTTAACACTGGGAAACTAGAAAAGTGGAGTGATTTTTCTTTTTCCTTAAACAGAGAGAAGTGATAACAATTTGGTAATATTTACCACTGACATAAATGTTACAACCAGAGGTAGAAATGTTACTGAAGAAATGAGAGTAATGTTTTCTAGGCAATGTTCTCTGGCTCCTGCCTAGGTGAGAGGTTTTCTTTTCCCAGCCCACAAGAGGGAAGCAGAAGTCCCTATTCCCTCCGACCTCTAGCCCCCTAGGACAAAGCTTCATCCCTTAAGCTGGGCTGGTGCCCAGTTTAGCTGTCAGAGGCTGGCCTGGCACCACGCTACCACCACAGCACAGTGGGAGGAGCAGCAGTCTCCTCTGCCTTCACCCAGCTGAGTGTTGAAAGAAACCTTGTTCTGCAGGTACCTAAGTTGGCACAGGCGAGGAGTTTTGGTGCCATTGTATATGGTGTAGTCAATTATGAACTACAGGTTTATTTCCTGCTGTTTTAGGAAGAAAACACAACATATTCATGAGGCCAGGCCCATATCATTTGCTATTTTGCTGAGTTCAACAACTTGATATGTAAAATGGAGACGTGTTCATAATTTACTTCATAGAGTAGATTTAGATGAGTAACTTAAAGGGTGATTGACTAACAGTTTAAAGAACTGTATGAACCAAACAGTTTTGAGATACTGAAAAAAGAAAGAAGATACAAATAATCTGGCTAGCAGGAAAGAAATACGTAGTAAAGGACTGGTAGTGGGTAAGATAAAAAGATCAAATCAAACATGACATAACAAGGTACAGTGAAAAATCAAAACAACAGAAATTCCAATCAGGATACTAGTCTTCAGAGTTCATCAGACTTTTATTAAGAATTGGGATGTCCAGTTTGGACAGAGGTGAAGAACTGGAGGCAGCCCAGAGGTGAACAATAAAAATAATTAAAGGGTTCGGATACAGGCCATATTAAGAAAAGTTAAAAGGAGCTGGAGTTATGCGCCCCAGAGAATAAAAGGCTAAAGAGGTTAATGACAATATTTAAGCCCAGAGAAGAGCACTGTGCTATGACAGTGAGTCATCAGGTTATGGAGGACAAAACACAGAGGGAAAGGCTGGACAGGACAACTGGGCTGGCAAATGTCACTGCAGGGCTCCAGGGGGAGGACACTCCTTTGAAGGGTGGAGATGGAATTTGGTTCAGATTTAAACTTTGAAAACCTCAAGTTTCCTGTGGCCACTCTCAAAATGCATATAAATTATGCCTATAAGACACCCTGCAAGTTCTTGAATTTCCATACAATTACGAAGTGTATAGCTTGTGGAATTTTAGGCACTGATGTTTGTTGAACGGCATCTGACCCTATCAAAATAAACAAAAGCAGGGTGAAGGGAGGGCAGGGTAATGGGGAAAAAATAAGAGCCGAGATACGTCATGTAAAGGTACAAGATCCCAATGATGAATGTAACCGTATTGTATATCTTAAATGTACCAATAAATTTAATGGAAAACAAAACTTAAAAAAAAATAAACAAAAGCATATCAAAATAGGGGATACACACAGACCATTTGGTGAAAATGCAGATTCAGTAATCAGCGCTGACTTTCAAGCTTTGGAATCAAACTGAGTTTTCAGCTGATTATACTGGAAGGGAAAAATCACTTTGATAGCTTAAGTTTTCTAGTGCTTTGACATGCACATCAAATTATGTCACTGTTTCTAAAATCGAGGTATGGGACAGATAATTCATAGTTTGTGCCTAAGATAGGTGTGGCAGATCTTAGGTATTTTAAAAATAATTTGGGATTTAGCCTACTAGCACAGAAAGCTAATTAAATTACTTATGAGGAGAAAGGAGAAAGAAAGGAAGTTGAAAGTTGTTGTCTCACTCAATAGGAGAGAGGTGAAAAATCTCATTGCTGTAACTTACTAGGCAGGGAACTGGGCCCACTGGGCCCAGACACCTGGGGAAGCCATGAACTGTTGTTAAACCAAACTTAATGTATCTAAGCTAAGCATCAAGTCCCAGGAGCATTGGCTTTGTTCCAAAGAAATACTTATTAAAGGCACTAGTTGAGTTTCTCAAAGCTGAATATATGGTAGTTGGATCAGCAATTGGAAAATACAGATGAAGAATTATACTAAACCTGAAAAGATGTTGATTAAGGGATTTGGTTCTTCAAGAGACTTTTTGTAAGCATTTGAGTTTTCAAATTAATATCCTTTCATCATTTACTGTAGTGACTTGTGTTATAAAACTGACCAGGACCTCAAAGAGCTCCTCCTTGCTTTTGATCTTCTGTCCCTGTGAATAATCACTATACATTGACTCCTCAAAACTGTTCAGGGCACTGCTTATAAAGGAGACTCATCTCGCTGGTCTGATCTTCCTTCACTTCAATCTGATGCACTTTTGAGTGAGCTGATGATAAACATGATGGGAGTGGGGCATGCTCTTAATTAATGGATACATGAGGATGAGCATCATAACTGTGGTACCAAAGAGTCATCACCCTAATGCTTTACTGTACTGCTTTGCCATAAGCACACTGTACACTTTTGCAATAAAAATTCCTTGTGCAAAGAACTTCTGAAAATACAAAATCTGCAATAATAAGGCTATCAGCTCAGAAGTTCAACTAATAGATTTTACTGTAAAAACAGTTCTATGAAAGTGTAAAACAAGAACCACACTGTCTATCATGGAAATTACATCATCCAATGACAAAGAAAACACAACAGTAGCACTGTTACAACCTCAAGTAGTAATGTGAACAGATTCCAGTACTGTAAAATAATAATAGACAACAGAGGATTCGAGATTTAGGGAGGACACAAAACTTTCAAATCTGCTCTTCAATTTACCAGTAGTCTGAAGAGAGTAAGTGAACTTTTGGGTGACCATGTTATGCAAAATGTTCTGAAAACTAATCTCTGTGTTTTTATAAAGTTAACATTACCAGTATTTACCTACAGTGAGCTTGAATTACTCCCATCAAGCATCGGGAGGAAGAAAGACATCTATACAAACCTACATATGGTCCACCGGGTTTGATAACTTTTGTGCTTCGGTTGCGGGATTCCTCCTCTGCCTGGGTCATTCTTTCTCGTGTCATCTGATATGAGTCGTTTGTTGCACACACTGTAATTTTATCTTGGATAAATCCCAGGCAATTGAGCTGGGAGGCTCCAGAGCTATCAATAAGACAGTGGCTTTGTTAGAGATGACCCTTATTTTATATAATAAAGGCAAGCAAGAATTGTATTATCCTAAAATTAGAAGCCCGGATAAGTTTGCCATCCTAAACTAATAACTATTTTAAATGTAAAGATTATTTAAAACATTTAAGTCCCTCTTCTTCATTTCATATCACTTTTTTTTCATATTTTGAATATAATAGGTAACATGAGCTTTCAAGGGTCCAAATCCATGAATTTTTAAAAGCAATCAGTACAGTGAAAACCAGAATTCTAATGGGCATTGTAGTTCAACTTTCACTTAACAGTTAAATATTTTTAAAATTAAAACATGACATGAGAAATGTTTGACATGACAAATGTTTAGAGTGTACTTTCAATTGGCAGCAATGTGCATGCTTTAGAACTGACTGGATGAAACATACTCACCAGAATTCTTCTTCTTCTTTTTTTTAAGGTACTAGTTTTAAGGCTAAAATATTGACAAACATCAGAACATTATTGATCCAAAGTTCCTCCAAATTTGTAGAATTTATAGTTACTACTTTGTTAAATCTCTGTACAGCAAATATTGAAGAAAATATGGTGCAAGTGATTCTTCCAGAAATTTTTTAAAAAACTTATGGAAACAATCATGAATCTTAGCACTGACTTTGATGATGGTATTGTTTGAAAGTAACATCCTAGTATTAGAGGAATCATAACTGGTATTTTTAAAAGAAAATACTATAGCCTTAAAACTAAGTGGAATATAAAAGTAAACTATGATACTACAGCTTTGATCCTTGATTTCCAAACTAAATTGGAAATAACTTCGTTAGGACCCTAAGAAATTAAGGTTACTAAAAAATGTTGTAAATTGCTAGTAGCAGTCTTTACAAATGCTATTTTTTAAAAAATGTGTTCATTCATCTCATAAATATTTATCGGGCAGGACTATACACTAGGCAATAGGATAGGCAGAGTCTGTGACAAAGACTAGACATTCGTATTCCTTCCAGCAAGGAGCTCTTTTTCTAATAAGTGACAAGGAGGAGCAAACTGGGATTTACATCACAGTGTAACAAATGCCAAGGAACAGGGAGGCACCTCTGGCCCCCCAGAAAGGTGCTTCACTTGGACTTTACAGGGCAACTGATGCCTGAGCTGATTAGAAAGATCCCTGGACAAAGGGGAGCAAGGACAAGTGTTCCAGGAGGAAAAACCAACCAGGGCAGGCCCAAGGTGTTTAAGAAGGTTTTCAGTTTGGCCCTAGAGAGCTGGAAAGGACAAGTGCAGAAGAGGTGGAAGAAAAAAATGAGAGGCAGATCACAGGGAGTCACGTTATGGATTTTTGTACTGTGTCCCAAGAAGAGAAAAGAGGCTAAAAGCAGAGAAAACATTTCACTTGTATTATTGCGAGACCAATCTAGATGGAGAACAGATGAGGAAGAAGGGGATGGAAGAGCAAAAGGCGGGAGTCCTGTCAGAAGGCTACTGAAGGGTTATGGGTAGGCAGTGACGGCCTCAACCACAGCGAGGCAGAGGGAATGCAGATTCCAGAGACGGCAGGAAAGTGGATTTGAGACAGGTGGAGAGGAGGAAAGTTGGAAGATTGAGCCCAGGTGCGGATCTGCCGTTCACTGAGACATGAGAAGCAAGGGCGAGTAGGAGGTAGGGCGGAAGAGAGAAACGAGTTCAGTGTTACAGGTGGCGCCTCTGAAGGAACGTGGAGGGAGAGACGGGGTCTCAGCAGAGAATCAACCATGAAGAACGTTAAAATGTGAACGGAGACCATGAGACTAGATAGAAGGGCACAGTGAAAGAGGTAAGAGGGAAGGCAGAAAAACACTGTCACAGAAGCCACTGGGGCAGAGTGCTGCAAGCAGGAGAGAGCAGTCAACAGTGCAATGCTGGCTAGAAGTCTGGCACGGAAAGGACCCTTTAAGCCCCCACTGAATTTAGGGGCAAAGGAGCTCACAGCCTCTTGCGGGAGTGATGTCAGTGGAACAGTGGGGTCTGAAGCCAGACTGTGGGCCAAGAAGTAAGTGGAAGGGTGGTTGTTTTGGTTTTGTTCCCTTTTTTAATGAGACAGACTTGAGTATGTCTGAATGCTAAAAGAAAAACAGTGAGAGAGGACAGGAGGGAGGTTTAACCCTCAGGGAAAGCAGGATGGAGCGGGAAGAAGGGGAGGAAATTACTGCAGTATGGGCAAGGTCTGACAGCCCGAGGTTTGTATTTTAGCACCTCTTCCCATTATTTACAAGGTAATTCATTTAGGGAATAAGCTGAACCTACCACCAATCACGATGAAGTTACTGATTATACCACCCAAGGTCAAGAATCAGATCATTGCATGAAAATAAAACAGTGCTAATCCCATTAAGATGACCACATAATTTTTGTTTCTTTTTAACTTAACCTATAATTGCCCGAATATATGTTAATTTTGCTTTCTATAAATTAACACCTTCTGAACATATTTTTCATATGAATTGAATATATCATGGCGATAGGCCTATGGTCATCTTAATGGGAAGAAAAACTTAAAATTCTTTCAGTTGTGTGCCTTATTCTGTTATCTCTGCCTTCTCTTCTTGCCTTTCTGCCATGGACCATGAGTGCTCGCCCAGTGTCAGCAGTGTCAGGGGCAGCACAGAGGAGCCACGGAGAGGGGCCAGCCCTCAGTACTTTCAGCCCAGGTCAGAAACCTGCACCCTGAAGGAATGAGAATCCCGACTTGCTCTGTCTCTACCCAGGAGCAGAACAAACTCCCCCTACTCAAGGGCCTATTCTTTAATCAGAAACAACAAAAGCAGAGCAAAGGGAAACAAGTGGTTTATTGTTTCCAGAGGATCTAAGTAGATAGGGTTCCGTGGTACCCTTAGAGTGTGTATTCTTGTCTTCCTTTCTCTTTTTTTAATCAGAAGAAATGACTGCTATACAGTGACTAATGTCTAGTTTCCATCCTGCTGTGAAACAGATTTTTGAAAATCGACCTTCAAATAAGGCTTGAGCAGGGAAGCTGAAAGAGGACATGAAAGATGTGTATTTTTTCTCCTCCAAAGGTAACTCTGGGTGTAAGCCTTAAAGACCCTCATTTAAATGCAATGAATAAAATCTTTAAAAAAAAAAAAAAACGTTCAAAATGGATCCTCAAAATCACCAAAAACTTCAAAAATTTCTTTAATCGGGAGCCGGGGATTTAGCTCAGTGGTTTTGCCGCCTGCTGTGCAAGTGCAAAGACCCGAGTTCAATCCCCGGTACCAAAAAAAAAAAAATTTCTTTAATTAAAAAATTCCTTATTATATAAGCAACACATGTTCTGTACTTAATACACCCCCCCCAAAAAGAACCTTGGAATAATATTTGTATTTGTATTCCAGTGACAAATATAATGACTAGTATACAATAGTAGATACTTAATATTTTTCAAATACATGACCTCTGCAATTCAATTCTATAAATATCTGCAGAATAATACATATTTAATTAAGTTTTTTTTTAAAAAACCTGTTAAATAAAACTTTAGCTTTCAGCATACCTTGAAAAGTACTTACCTGGAGAACGTTTGCTGGATGCAGTCAAAGCTGCCCTGAGGGTTGTCTTTGCCCACATTTGACAAATAGAAGTTAAAGTTATGTACCTCGTTGAGGGGATCATTTTTGGGAATTTTGACAAGCTAAAAGAGGGGGAAAGAAACACCTTAAATTACAAATTTGCCAGAAAAGATCTTATGGACTAATTTGACAAGTGAGTCATTTTATAACCTTGATATTTAAATGACCAAATAAATCAAGAAATCTGACAAGCACACCTATATCTCACCCCACTTTTACTTCCATTTTCTACCCTTTAGTGTCACTAATTACTTCTGCTCAGTAATTGGCCTATGAGAGGAGCCCTCTTCATTTCAAATAAGCAAATGATTCCAGTTCACAAGAAAGGGTTATTAGTAAATTTGCTAAACCGTTCTTCCTCCTTCCAGCTAGACAAGTTCTGTCTTTGGCTGATATAATTCTCTACTGACTAGCTTCAGTGTTTAAAAGGTCTTTGAGATACAGGCAATACCCTAATCTTTTGTTCTCTTAATAAAATCACATTTTATCTTAATTCTTACTTCTCTGAGTGTATTTGTGCGGATGAATAACAATAGTACAAGGTTAATGTCCTAATTACATTCACAGGCAAATGCAGCTGTGGCTGTTCTCCTGGCCAAGATTCCTGATTCCTCCTACTGTTTATACAAGACCAGCAGCCTACAGAGAAGCTCTTACAGGTGGGTCCCAGCCTGAGCCCCAGGAAACACTGCAACATGTGTAGTGTTTCCCGTAGTCTTGCTCAAAGTCTAGTTTCCCTCCTAGATAAGAAGCCCCCTCAGTGAAAGGACAGGGTTTCTCTAGATGACCAAGGCCACAGCAGGTACATTTCCATTTCAGTGGTGGGAGCCCAATGAACCTGTGTCAGCAAACTGTAATCTCACTTCGTCAACTGTACCACCCCTCTCAGCACATGGTTTTAGGTGGTAAACATTTCCCCCACCCTCCTTCTCTACTAAATTACTAAAACCGAGCTTGGGGGCTGGAGGGTGGGAAATGAACCATATTTTACAAATCTGCCAACAAACCTTTTTAAAAAATCATTGCCTTGTACTGCTAAAGACCCCTTCTTCTAGAAATCTGTTATTTCTATTATTGGAAGATGAAGAAGCAGAGCTAACTGGCTATAGTGTACACACTCATGAAGGTGCTAGTGAGCACAAACATGTGAGGACACTCTGCAACCTCTGACCTAATCATAATTTGTGACTTGTAGGAAGGACTTGGAGCTGCCATTTCCAACCCCTCAGAAGGTGAAGAAGGGTGAGAAGGGAGAGAGTCTGCAGTATCTGGCACATAGTAGACTTCTAGTAAATACCTGCTGAAGAAATGAATGTACAAGGACAAGAAATAAGTCAAGGAAAAACATCTTTTCAGAGGAGATTCAGAAGATTCGTGTGGTACTTTGAAAGGTCAAATTTCCCCAAAGGTGCTGAGTATTAGAAAATAACCTACAGAGCTTCCCTTATCCATGAATTTAAACCATCTGTGACTCCAGATTGCAAATTAGTACCAATTCCTAGAAAAACAAGTCTCTACATTTATTACCTACTCTATAAATAGCATCTCTTGGGGGTCCTTACAGTTACTCTTTAATTCCCCCAATTTCAAAATGCTGTTACTTGGTGAACAAGTCTTAATTTACTTTGTCTGTAGGTACTCATCAGGTCGTCTTACTGGGTGTATAAATACCACACCTAGTTGGCACACATTGCAACTTCTGAATCCTACAGCAGTGGGGAGAACAGCAGCAAATGGAATGCTTCAGGGGAACACAAAGTCCACGTGCATGCTAGTGTACCAGCATCACTGGTGTCTGCTTTGGTTTTCCTGAGAAGATCAGGGTCCTACTAACAGAGAAGGAATATGCACTATAGCCTAAAGCCCCTCTAAAGGCCAGGAAGGAAAGACACCGGAATGAAATACCCTCCCCAGCCATGACTCCTTTAACTTCCATCTCTCTTCCCTGCTAACCTTCTACCTCAATCTGCAGAACATGGTTGGGGATATTTTCATAGTGTTGAGGTCTTTCTATTTTCTAAGAGTGACTGGAGTCTTTACTCAGGTTCTACAAATATGCATTATTCTTTCACTGAAAACTTAATTACTAAAGTCCTTTAGCTCACATGTCTACTAAGAGCATTATAGGAAAGCTGTTAACCAAACTTTATACTAAGTATAAATTTTTCATTTCTCAGCCTCCAAACCACTCAATCTTCCAAAATTCTTAATTAACATTTATACTTTTTAAGATGAAAGAATTATCTTCTGAAACATCTTTTCATTTCATTTTTTTAACGAACACACATACAATTAGAGTCTTGTCTAAATTCGGAGAGTTCAATCACAAAACATCTTATATGAAGTAATCACTCCTCAACGCATTAGGGATTCTCCTGATGTTTGACACTGGAGACTTTCATATTCTCATATCTTAAAAATCTCTTGAATAGAAAAACCTATAATTACTTTAAAAACAGGATAATGACCAGAATAGGAAAGAATCAGATTAGAAACAAAAATTTTTAAGTATATATAACCCATGTTATGTACCTACTGAAATGTTTTAAAGCTTGTGGTACACATAGACTAGAAAAAATTTTCAACAAAAGGCCACCTCCCCACACATACTTAGGGACATTCCATCGGGGAAGGAGTTACTGGCATCTGCTGGGAGGCCAGAGATGCTTCCTAACACCCTGAAGTCCATGGAATAGTCCCATAAGGAAGACTGCCTGGTCTGATGTGCCAGAAGTTGATGTGCCAAGGTTGAGAATTTTTGAATTAAAGAGACATTGGTCAGTGTCTGAGAAGGGAAATCAGACTTTGCACTTCCCTGACTTCTGAAAGTTAAAAAAATGGAGAGGGGGAAAAATGGTGTCTCTGAAGAAATAAAAGCACTCTTTTTATTTCCAATGAAAGGGGCCATCTTAACTTTATTTCAGATACTTATTCCAGTTCTGTAACTTCCAACCTGAGGAAACTGAAAAGCAGATATGCTAAGTGCACGTGAGCCACAAATGCCTCCAGATTTGTTAAGTATGGTGTGGTGGGGAGGGTCAACTTGATTGGCTTTGGGATCTGCCAAAGCAGCACACTTCTGGGCGTCTCAGCAGGTTATGGAGGCATGGCTCTGGGTCTACGTCTGCCCCCCCCCCGGCCCCGCCCCACTGTTCCCCAGCCTTACTCCACTACACTCTGCCCTGGGGCCAGATGGCCATAGCCGAGTCTCCTAAAATCATGAGCTCAATTAAACTTATCCTCCTTCATGCTGTTGGTGTCAGGTATTGTGTTTCGGCACTGAGAACGCTGAATATGTAGGGCTCATGTATACTTATTTGCTGTTCAGTTACCTCTGATTGGAAATTACAGGTCTTTTTGTTTTGGGGGTTTTTTTGAGACAGGGTCTCACCATGTAGTTCAGACTAACCTTGAACCTTGAACTATGTAGCCTAAGCTGGCCTTGAACTTGAAGTGATCCTTCTGCCTTCACCTCCTGAGTTCTGGGATTATAAGGCATGCGCTACTATGCCCAGCTATGACTGTAAATTATAAAACTTAAGGCATTAAACTAAAAGTTTCAAGTACATAATGAGTTGTTAAATACTGTACAGACATTCCCACTGACCTGTAGAAAAAAAACTTAAATATTTATAATTGAAATTGAGACATTCCTATCTCACCAAAGAATGTTCTCCCAAAATTGTTTCTAAATCAGACCTCAGAATAGATTTCCTATGGTACTATTCCAGTCTTCAAAAGCTGATCCTAGATGCATCAACATCAGTACATCTTCACCCTACCCTCTGTATTCCATAAATTTGAAGGCTAGTTTGTAACAAATGCTTCATAATCACCTGGAAGAAAGGACTATCCAATCCAGACAAAACTATGGAATAGGCTCCCATATACCACAGGAGCGATACATGCCCAACAGTTCCTCTGAAACACTAGCTTTCTGAAATGGGTCTGGATTACACAAGGGCTCAGACCCACCCCAAATGTTTCTTCAACAGTCTCATATGCTCTGGTCCATGCTGAGATTCCCCCTAGCTTAGGGGTGAAGTCCCTCTCCCCGGCCTGTTCTAATGGTCCTATAAATTTGCTCTTTCTATTAAGCCTCCTGCTTTCCTGCCCTTAGGCCAAAGTATTATACAGACTTATCAGCTATAAAGACAAGTACTACTTGGCATACATATTTTATTCTTGAGGGTTTACATAAGACATGGATACAAGTAAACTTTTAAGCTACTTTATACCTTAAGAATGAAATATTGTTTAAAAAGTATTAAAGATTGTATGATTCCAAATAGTTTCTTACTCAAAGGATATAAAAGGATATAAAAATATATCACCATGTCTGGGCAACTGGTAGATTTCAATTTTCTTTCCAAAAATAAGAAACTAAAAATCAACGGCTTAGGACCACAATCTACAACCCTCCTACCAAACTCTCGCCTGTCTTAGGTAAAAAGCTACAAAGAAAAAGTTTCCAGAAACTTTCAGACATTTATAATTAACACAAACACTGTATACCAAGACGTGTAAGTCAAAGCTTCTAATTATTCTGAGATACGAGCTCAGGCATGTGGCAATGGAATACTGTCTGAAAGGTCATTTCAACATCTAGTCCCAGACCTGCTATTTACATAAGGATCTGGGGCAGAAACGCAATGTGCACTCTGCTGCAACTTTCACACCCTGCATGCTAATATCTGCCTAAAAGTAGTTGGTACTGTACTACAGAGGCTGCCTATCCATAAGTCAAGTACTTTCTGCTCTCAATATTGGATATATGTACTACAAATAGGGCAGTGCTTTTTTCCCATTTATTTAACTCCATTGTTCTTCTGTTGGGTTTCTGGAATCCTAACTACTATATGCCTATGTGTAGATTTTTTTTGATCAAGGCTAGCTGGAGTCCTATATGCCTCACTTATCTGTATATCAAGTTCTTTTCCCCTCCTTGGGAAGTTTTCTGCCATCACTTCTGTGAACAGTCTTTTTATGTCATCTGCACTCTCGCCTCTTTCTTCATTGACTCCAATCAGTCTTATGTTATTCTTCTTTGCATCGTCTAGCA